TATAATGCAGTCAATATTACAGCTACAACTGGGTGGAGTACGTCTGTAAAAGCTTTCCTTATCTTGACATCTTTCTCTTTGAAAAATAGGTAAAATTCAGTCACAGAAATTTATCTGGATTTCGGTCCAGACTTTGACTGGACCATCCTAACAGCTGAATCCACCTTGACCTAAACCATGCACTGGTGTTGCAATGGTAACAATAGCCTTTGCAATTTTCCCATACCTTTAATTTTCAGGATCATGACTCACTCTCCACGGGATGCTGAAAACTTTAAATGTTTTCTTTTGATCTTAAACCAACTTTGATTTTCTTCTCAACCTTCTAGTGTTTCTTTCCTGAAACTTATGAAGGACTGATTCAGTTGCAACGACTAATAAATAAATACATAAATAAGTGAAGAAATAACTAATCAATTAGATAAAAACATGAGGAAATAAAACTCTTCTGTGATTGGTCAAATACAAACCAATCAGCTCATAAGAATTCACACAAACTTTCTGTATTAAATAAATAAATAAATGTGTAAATGAACATGAAAATAAATAATTACAACAAATGTACTTATACTTAATTTTCAATTTTATTTCCTTATTTATTTATTGTTGATTTTAGCAGGATCAATCCACCATAGTAAACAAATAGTTGCTGTGGGTTTTATTTTTTCACGCACCGAAAATAATGCAGAGTCCAACTGAATACCATACGTTTATAAAACTCTAAACTATATGTATTTATACATTTGAGCGAGAAAATATACCTAAGCTTATTCTGTCACGACGTCGAACATGTGCAGCAACAACAGAGGGAATGGGAAACGCGCTCGACCGGAACGGGAATGCTAGGAATGCCAAGGTGAGGGTATCTGACCCGGATTCATAACGTTTCCCATCGACCGAGTGTCAGGCGAGCTCAGCGGAGGCAGGCAGATGACCTGAAGAGCGGGAAACGGTGATGCCAACAAACCCGTCGCGAGACCCAACGGCTTCCCAACGGTCGAATGCTAACTTTACAACAGCTAACACCCAACAGTGAAAATAAACCGAGTTTGATTAAATTATTCAATAACTCCGGCTCATTTCGAGTTTGGGTAAATTTTTTATATATAAATAAATAAGAATAACTGAATTTTATCCGTTTTTTTATTGAAATAACGTTACGTTCAAAAATAAAATCAGCTAACTTCGTTTGTCAGCGTTAGCTACCTACAATCTGTTTTCCTCCGACAACTTTGTAACACGAAATCAGTCACATAACTTTACCTGGAGCCTGAGACAACCTGCAGTAGGAGGAGGACGCGTCGAGGGCGAAACCCAACTTTCTGTTTACTTCCAGGCTAAGGTTAGGATAATAGGTCTCTTTAAGATCCAACTAAACAGAAAGAAAAAAATAGTGAAGACGTCTTCGGAGGAACAAGTGCACAAATCATTAAAAAAAAGGAGGTTGGACGATGAAGGGAGTGTTTTAAAACAAATCCCAACCTCCTCTCTTCTCTCGTCCGTCCTTCTTTTTCTAAACACTCGTTAGGTCAGTGAACGCAGCACTTATGTTTGTCGAACAGCGCTCTTTATATTGATGTATGGCAAGACGATTGTCTATTTACTCAATTTGGACGTCAAAGTTGTCACCAATTAAATAAAAATTCCATGGTAATTTTCACATTTAAAAACACGAAAAAGTACTGAAAGCATCGTATCGTTTACTTTATATTCCATTTCTTTTTAGTTTTTTTATTATATTTTTATTTTCCCAGGTATCTCAAAACATTTCAAGTCAAATAATACAATTTGATGCAAAAAAAAACACCCGAAAGGGCAAAATAAATGTCATAACTCATGTCATCCATGAGTTATGACTGCTATGCCTGTAGCAGTCAATATCGCAGCAGATCTGAAGAAACCTCTGACTGAAGAATATTATTTAAGCCTTTGAGATGCTTAAATGAGGCTAATTTGAGAGCTAACAATTTTTAGCAACAATTTTTAAATGTTGCCACGACTAACATTTAAAAATTAAGTTAATCACAACAACCTGAATAGCCTTAAACGCACAAGCATTGTTTCACTGATCTGAACAATAGCCTGTGGTAAAATGTTGACCAGGACAGGGAAACTTACACCAGGCCTTCATTGTGATTGAATTAGAAGACCAGATTGGATGCTTTCTTGTCCTTTTGTCAACTGATGTCACATTTATTTTTATTAATAGGGCTTCACAGGTAAGAATATTACCATCAGCAAATTTGCATCTAAATAAACAATTTATAGAATAATTTAGAAAGTCAATAAAAGTCCAGCTTGTACTAAAGATATATTTTACAGACCATTAAGCTAATGGATTGAATTTCCACCGGTGCAGAGCTTCTTCAGGAATGTCATGCTATGAGACTTTGTTAGAACTTATTGTGAAGAAAGAGATAATTTTTTTGTTATGAAAAATCAGGATTTCTCTGTGTAGAAAACTCCAGTTATGCTAAACGCATTATACTAAGTCCAGGGCAGCGTTGGATAAATATGTTCTACAGAAATTGAACCCAAAATGAGGTCCTAGTTAAAGAGGGGATCACTTTTATGTACTTATTTTACACACTTTTGTACACGTGTCACTTCTATCTTCATCATATTAAAGACGGTTTATTTCAGTTTTAAACAGCAGGCGGCGCTGTTGTACTACTTAAAGCACTTCATTCAAATCTCAGTTTGTCAATTTAGTGTGGGATGCTTAATAAACTTCTGAATCCTCCTGCGTGCTTTACCATGTGCTATTGTTTACTTTATTATTATCGTTTTATTGTTTTTTTTATTAAGAAAATTAAAAATAAGTGTAAATCATTAAAGGAAGCTCTAAGTCCTACCAGGAGTGACTATTCCAAGAAATTAGAAATTAACCCCCAGTCAGACCTCTTGCTAAATATTAAGCCCGTTAAGAACCTTCATGATTTTGATTTGGGCCAAAATGAAAATGAGTGTGGCAGCCCTGATATAGGTGGTTGTTTTACATAAATAATGGATGAAAAGGTACCAGCTATGAAGTTAAATAATCCAACAGCGAAACAAAACATCATGGTTTATAGTATGTGTAAATTATTTGACTTATAAGAATTATTGATTTAAAACAAGTCCATATGTCATGCTGAAGTTCCTTTTCATAAAACTTCACCAAAAAGCACTTGGTAAGATTTTGTGTTTTTGCAGTGTAGGTTAATTGGTTTTCCTAAATTCTGCTTAGGTGAGTGAGAGAGTGTGTGTGTGTGTGTGTGAACGGCTGCTTTGTGCGTCTCTGTGTTCAGTGTGTGTCCTGCTAGACATATGAACCAACGGTTGTAAATGATGGCTGTTTTTTTTGACTGGAAGTAACATTAGTGTTCTAGGTAAACCCAGCTCGAATCAACCTCAAATAAAATTAGAAAAAGCTTCAGGATTAATAATAATAATAGAGAGGGCTTCCTCCAGTGTACTATAAGCCTGGCAGGCCACCAGTCTTTGCTTGTTCCCCCACCAGGCTGAGCATTGATTTTTCATTTAGGTCTTTTTAAAATGTTTGCATGTTTTTCCAATCTTTTAATAACGCAATTATCAAGTGATATTTTCAAATTTCCTGTCAACTTTAAACATTCTTTAACTCAAAAACATGACGGGCCGCTGGATGAATGACTGCCAGGCGCCCCAACCGCCAGGCTTAGCAAGTTTTTTAGGGGAAACCTTGAAGTAAAGAGGTAAAACCAGCCAATCACGCACATATTGTAAAAAGCAGTGTAGAAAATTAACTCTAAAAGTCTCAACAGGTAGGCAAAGAAGAAAAAAAATGCACATTTGTCACAAATGCACCTTGCTGCATTATTTCCAGCACAATTTTTATTTTGATCTTGATAAGATGGGCAGACATTTTAAAGCTGGAGACGTTAAACACTCCTCCTGGGTATCGCACTGTAAAAAGACCAAGTGCTGTTGGTTGAGCTCAAGTCAGAAAAAAAAGCTAATTAGTAAATGACTTTCTGGATTAGAAAAAAAAAACAAAAAACATAAGAGACTAACATGTATAAACATTATCTATCCGGAAATACCTCAAGAATGACAACATAACTATGTACAAAAACATCAATATAAGATTTATATATATATATATATTTCTTAACTTCTATACCCACTAAAATATACCAACAAAGCAGGTATTTGTTAAACCTGACGAACCTGTTTTCCAACATGTCTCTGAAAACAGTTTTATTATCCTTCAGCTGTAGATGTGAAAACTCAAATACATGAGAGAGGAAAAAAAGGAGGGAAACAGAAATAAAAGACATGTAAATAAATAAAAAACAAAACAGAACCCAAAAGAAGTCCTGTGTTTTTAATCATGTGTGCCATTTTTGGAATACTGCAGTGTGAGGAGGTAAGCCACTTCAGCCAGCTTCTCCAGTGGATCAGTTTGTTCCAGGATGGATCATCTTTTGGACCATCCAGCAGTCTCTTTTGTTTCATTTTCAGTTCATCATCCGCATGCATTCAAAGACTCAGTTCCATGACGACCGATGTAGGCCACAGACAAAAAGAGAAGGGCACTTTTTATTCCCCGAAACGAAGCGACCTGGGGGACAGACTGAGGGGGGATGAGGGACGCGGCCTGGACGAAAAGGAGGGCCAGTGGGTTTAGCAGCCTTCTTGTTTGTCAAGAGTTTGTTTCACAGTTGAATCCAAAATCCACCCAGTCTAGCACAACATTGGCAATATATATATATCTATGTACAGTATATAAAGTACAATCTTGAACAACGGAGAAGCAAGAGGTTCGTCTTTAAATACAAAAAGTGTCTTGTGGCGTCCGTGCGTGGACTCGCTGTAGTGTGTGTTTGTGGCATCTGGAGAAAAAAATAAAGTCCTGAGATGTGTGTTGAGGGGTTTCTGAGGACAAAGTGATCAAAGTGTGATCTATCTATATATATATATATATATATATATATATATATATATATATATATATTATATATATATTATACATATATATATAAAATGAGAACAAAAATAGATTTATTCTGTAGCATGGACGTGGTATTGAGGGATGTGTTAGGACGGGCTGGACCGCGGCAGCGCTAGTATCCGTCCATTGGTTTTGCCCCCGTTCATGTGCGTGAAGGGGATGTGGTGTTCCTCGTAGCTGCCCCGCAGGCCCACAGAGGACGCCTCGTCCCTGTCCGAGCACTGCTCCCTCTGGGAGTACGACGACGGGTCCAGGGGGATGCTCTCCATGTTCTCCATGTCCAGGTCGAAGTCCTCGCTCTCTGGCAGCTTGTTGTCCTCGCTGTAGAAGAAGGAGACTTCCCGGAACGAGGGGTGCAGGTCGTCCTTCAGCATCTCGATGATCTCCTGGAAGGTCGGACGCATCTTCGGGTTGTACTGCCAGCACATCTGCATCAGGTTGTGTCTGTGGGACGAGATGGAGTCCCTTAGTGGACACTTGATCATTTGTAGTAAAGGATGGATTAAAAGGATGCAGTTAAAAATACTAATATAAGTGGAAAATATTTACAGATAAATATTTTTGTAAATTTAAGATTTTGCATTTAAGCTAAAATGCAAAATGTGTATAGAGCTTAACTACTGCTCTGAGTATGTTGTTTATTCAGAAAATAACATTTTGGAGTGTGGACACTCCTGTTAATTAATTGGCAGCTAAATTAGTTGAAGATTATTTCAGTAACTCATTAATTGTTTCAGCCTTACATTTGATACTCCAGACTGAAAATTGTTATTGGCACCTACTTTACTCTATATAAGCAGAACAAACCTGGTCTTCTTCACACATAAATAAATGCAATATAAAAATAGCTACCTTTCCTTAATGTTTATATATTATCATTATAGAGACAAACAGGTTTTGTGTGTGTGCTTACAGTCTGTCTGCGCAGTTGTCTGGCCGGTCCAGGAAGCCTCCGTCCATCACGAACTTGAGGACCTGCTCATTGGACAGGCCCTGGTACGGCTGCTCGGCCAGGGTGCTGATTTCCCACAGCACGACCCCAAACGACCTAGTGACCATAGAGATCAGCTGATTAGACATTTGACAGACTAATAAATCCACCAGTAAAGACACTGAGAAAACGGAGCGGGAGCTGGTGAATACCAACAAAGAAAAGAAAGCTTACTGGTTGGTTTTCTGGTCTGGTTGGGTTGTTCTTGGTGAAATGTTGAAGAATAATCTGTTTTTACTTACCAGCAGTCTGAATGGGCAGTGAAGACGCCGTCCTTCAGAGACTCCGGTGCCATCCACCTGACGGGCAGGAGGCCCTTCCCTCCTTTCCGGTAGTAATCCGTCTCATAGATGTCCCTCGTCATGCCGAAGTCTGGGAACAAAACGTGATTGTAAGATTCAGAAATTAAGCTAGAAGGATCCAGAGATCTTTTTAAGATTGAAATATTTTCTGAGTATGACTGGTCTGTTTTATCTACTTCTTATAGGCAACCTATCAGGCTTCCTTGAACAGATTAGGATTGGTCTATGGTCTATACAAAACATATTCATTATGTTTTTGGCTCAAAATTGTTCTTGCAATTGTACCACCATACATGTTTGAAAAACAGAAGTAAAACAACAAGATTGCAGAAAGTGGTTTCTGGGTGGTAGGTTAACAACAAAACACTTCCAGCAGCCATTGTACAGCTGTACAAACGTGCTGGAAGTGTTTTGCTAGGCAATGGCACAGGGTCCACAGGTTGCTAGGTAAGAGCAGAATGTGAATGTTGAATGTGAGTTTTTGAAGTGGCTCCTTTTCCAGACACCAAAAAATATTAACTTTTTTTCCAGAAAGACCCCCCAACAAACCAGCTGGTCTGTTTCTAGAAGCAGTAGAGACCCAAAAGGAAGAACAAAAACATGCAAAATATGAACTTTGCATAACAGAAGGAGTCGACTGTTAATTGTGACAGGAGCTTTTCAGGCCATGTATTTTTTTTATTTTTATTTTTCACATTTTGAACCAGTGAACAAATTTCAAAAAGCTCCGAAATGAAGAAAAAAACACAATCATCCAACATCAGTCTTCTTAATGTCAGTGCCAGGAATCATTAACTGCTCTCAGAGGAGCAGAGTTTTTGTCCTGTTTCTAAAGCACAATAACATTGTTGTACAACCCAATGCTGACACAAGCAGGTTGTTGAATTAGTCAAGAATTGGGACACATTCTGTGGCGTTTATGACCCTAAAAGGTTGAGTGTGAAACATTATGACACAACAACAAGTGGAAAAAAGACCTGAAAACTAACGGTTCAGTTGTGCTGCAAACTGCAACCTAAATAATGACCCACTGTCACTGAAACGGTTCACATTTTCCTCATGTTAAAAACTTTGCAGTATTTAATTTGAATTTTACATGCTGGGCTAGGCGTTTGTGACATGTAGCTCTCATAAATGTTAAAGAATCAACTGTTTTAAATATAAATCTTGCAACAATCGATGGTTTATGCTTTTATTTAATATAATAAGTAGATTTCACACAACAAAATATCATTAATGTTGTTGTAGAGATATATTTTTTGGCATAAAGTTGGAAACTATTATGTCTTTTTTTTCCATTTTCCACATATTTCACCACCCCACAGAAGGAAATGTATTCGCCTCCTTTCCTGCAAACATTTTATATTATACTTCTTTATTTTAAAATCTAAATACATAAATTAAACAAAGCTCTTTAATATGCCAGTAAATTTCCCAAAGTAGAGGTTTATGAAAATATTTAAGTTTAATTAAGTGTTATTTAGCTACACTGAAGGCAAATATGGCTCCTAGTTTAAAGACAGTGGTTCTTTAAAGGCCTCCGGAAGACTGATAAGTTTCAAAATGTTTATGAATGAGAAATGAAACGTCTTCAAGAAACAATGAGCTCAATGAGCTTTAGCGACATTGCAAAGAAGAATGGATAAAAAATTAAACCTGTAGACGTGTGAAAACCATCTATTTATCTTTTAATTTACAATACATCTCCATTTTATGTATCTTGTACAGGCATAATTAAGAAAGTACATTTTTCACAGATATCATAAGAATGTGTCTCTTCATGCTGCCACCAGGGGGCGACATCAGAAAGCTTTTATTGCTAAACCAACAGCCTCCAAGCAAAACGTACCTCCTATCTTGACTGTGAAATCGTGAGCCACCATGCAGTTTCTGGCTGCCAGGTCTCTGTGGACAAACTTCTTGGCGTTGAGGTAAGCCATGCCGTCTGCGATCTCGGCGGCCATTTGGATCATCTCTTTCAGAGTGGGAGGTGGACGCCCAGGGTTATTCTGAGGGACAGGAGACATGATTTTAAACATATGATCTGCTGCAAACTGGCCTGTTTCCCTGAAATGCTCTCAGCTAGCGTCAGAGGTAACTGTTTAAATCTGTCAACATCCCTCAGTCCTCTGCCCTGTCCGATGAGTCTGTTTACAGACATTAAACCATAGTTTCCTTAAACATTACACTGTACATTTACATACTCAAATTTAAATACAGATATTAAAACATCCAATGCAAATGTTTTTGCAAAATCTGTGGAAATAATCTTGTGTTTCTCTGCGCAATCTTTCACGATGCTGCAGACAGAGAGAACGCTAAAATGAAAAACTAAGCTAAACCCAAAGAACGCAATTTTTTCAAAAATAGTGCCTGAAAACAAAACACTGGGACAGAAGAGGAAGACAGACACACAATGATGTATCAACATCACAACAAATAGGTACAAAATGTTAAAAATAAAATCTCACATACCAGATCTGACTTCCAATCTTAACAGTTTTTTTCTTCTTGCTTTTCTATCTAAAAAATTACTCTTTAAAAAGTGGCTTTTCATTCAATTATCTTTTCTTTGAGTTTTACTTTTATTATAAGAAAAAAGACAGAATTTTTCCAGTGGTACAAATCAAATTAAGAGGACAAAAAAAAAGTAGTTTAAATGAGAAAAAATCTTTTGAGTTATCAGGATCTGACGTAACCGGCTCAGTCCATGTGGCTCTTTCTTCGAAACAGCCTCAGTCGTTTGAACAATCGTTTCAAAGTCCAGCTACTGGTAATAATTTGATGCTGACGTGTTAATATATGACGCGTTTCCTTATCTGTGAAACCAATAGTAGAACTTCACTAGATGCTTAACATTCCACTCTTCATATTTTTTTATCTTTTTGTGTTCGAGTTCTCATAAAATTGCTACTTCATTCTCCTAATATGACTTCACTCTTAAAATATTATGACTTTCTTCTCATTTCATTAAAAAGAAAATATTATATTCTCAAAAGCCCAAATAAATAGAAGGTGTAAAAGATGCTTGTCAACAAGATGGCGGCACTGGATGTGCTGACAACACATGAAGTTAAAATATTAAATCTTCCAAAGCCAAAAATTTGATTAGTGAGTGAAACAGACAAAGTGTCTTTATTGTCTGAATTCTTAATTAAAAAGGTCTCTTAGTTCAGAGATTTTCATCAGTACATTCTCCAACTCACATTCTTGTCTTTAGAAGTAACATTTTCATTCGGGGCTAAAAATAAAAAGAACTGTCAGAAATTTGAATTTGTACAACCCGGGCTGGGACCGGTTGTGCATTTTTTCCACAAAAATGCAGAAGTGAGAGGAAGAAACTAAACTAGCGAGTGAAACCAAGATGTGCTACCTCAGCATCAGGACGCAGAGAGCGCAGGTAGCTCTTCAGGTCTCCGTGGGTCATCAGCTCCATCACCACCAGCGTCGGCTGGCCCTTCGACACAACGCCCATCAAGCGGACCTGAGAAGAAACAGCATTATTTATTTATTACATTATAACTTCATATGACATAGCTCTCATCTTAAATACTACTTTTAATACATTTTAAGACCATAATGAATATGGGCTATGAAAGAGATATTCATTTTTTTTTGCACAAAATTATTCTTAGTTAATGAGATTTTAGGCTAATTAAATCTGTTGGTTTTGAATTTCTTACAGAATGAGCGGCTTTAAGGCGTCTTGCCACTTTAAATCCAGATGACCTGCTGCTGTCCACAATATTTATACATACATGTGAAAATGGCTGCAAACAATGTGCAATTACACAACCGTGCAATTTTGAAAAGCAGAAGTAGAGCCTCCTGCACAACCAACCTTCAATGCAGCAACTGGTTTCTGCATTCTTTTGTCAACAACAAAACACTTGCAGGATTTTCCACAGTGTATTATAAGCCTAGCAGACAACCAGGCTTTACTTGAGCCCATAAACGTTATTTTACTTTAATACATCAGTAAAGCAAATTGTGTTACTCTAGTTTTATATGTAATACAACATTCTTTATATTTAAAAAAGATAATGGAATTTGATTATACATACAACACCTACAGAAAAGCTAGTTTCATTTAGTGCACAGCTATATTTGTTTTTGTTATTGATGTTTTATTTCTCAGATTTCTCAATTTTTAGCCTTTTTTTAGCACAAAAACACAGTGGGTCGACTGGTGCACTTCCTTAGCACCGCTACCACTGGGTTTAGTTCGTCATCTGGGGGAAACCTTTACTTGCCTTTTCCAGTGGCCATTGTAGAGCATATAAAGTGGTTAAAAACAGCTGACTAAATGTACTGGAGCTCATTTTGAGTTGCTATGTGATTTGGTGCATTCTGGGGGGTTTTGAAACAGCTCTTTTTCCAGACACCAAAAGATCATTTTTATCAGGACTTTTAGAAGCAGAAGATTTTTAGAAGCAGTAGAAACCAAAATGAAAGTACAAAAACAAGCAAAATTTGAAGATGAGTCATTTAAGGTCTTAATTTTAAATAACTCATTGTAAGACTTTGTAAGTAAACTGGCGTATCAGTTTATTTACCACATGGTGGCAGCTGAAGGCTTTCATGACCGACGCCTCGTTCAGAAACTCGATCCTCTCCCTCAGGCTGGCTGACTCGTTCACTGTCTTCACCGCCACGTGCGTTTCGCCCTCGCCCTTCACGATATCCTTAGCGATGCCCTCGTACACCATGCCGAAGGAGCCCTGGCCCAGCTCCCTCAAGATGGCGATCTTCTCACGCGGGACCTCCCACTCATCCTCCTCGTACACTGCAAACACATTTCAGGTTTTACAGCCTTCAGTTTCAGGGGAATACTGGAAGGCAGGTTAGAACAAGCCGGACCAGAGCATCTCCCAAGTTTTTTATGAACACAATTAATGTCAAATTCTCTGATGTGTCGTATGAAGCAGTCGCTTCGGTTTGATTTATTGGTGTTCAGATGCTTTGATGGCTCGAGTTCGTGTTAACCATTTAACAGATAAAACTGAGCAAATAGTTCTGCAAGTTACTGACTGGCAATGATGTTCTGCGCCAACATCAAAAAATGTAAACAAATGAAATCAACTTAAGATGATTTGCAAACAGGAAACATCTGGAAATTTCCGCTGACAATGAAACGTTTAAATGCCTCTTGAAGAATCTGACAGAAAATTGATCAAACAATAAAGTTAAATACAAATACTATTAGTTGAATAGTTTGTTCTTCAAGGACCTTGAAGTTAATGGTTGAGGTTTTTTTTTTTTTTACATTTTTGTTGTCATTTTACATAAAACAAAGTTTAAATCAAATACTTGGTGTTTTCTCTGCTTGATGAAAATGATTTGACCTTTCAAAATCTTTTCCATCACAACTGGAAATGTCACACACGGCTGTTTAAGGAATAACAACCACTCACTGCGTCATTAAATAACTTGTTGCCAGGCAGTAACTATTGATTAAATCCAGTGGGTGACTTTTTTTTATTATTATTTTTGGCCATGCATTGTTATTAATTTAGCCGAATGGTTGTTTTTCTTTAACTAGTCTATGAATCAGCACCTTTGTTGAAGTGAAACTCTTTAGGAAACACAAGCAGCTAATGCTGTTGATTATTTCAGCTCCATTTAAACAGGATTCACTGAATGAGGCACTAACATCCCTGTGCCTGCTCACCGTCATTAGCGCTGAGGTACTCTGGGTTTGAAGAGGCGTAAATGGGTCCGCTTGGTCCTTGGGTTTGACTGGAAGGAAGCGGACAAACACCTTCAGATGACAAAGCGATTAAAAGACATAAAAGTCTGAAAGGAATGTGAGAGCTGCGCACTTCTTCCTGAACACGACGAATCCTGCCCCGCCCAGAAATACCAGCAGGAGGAAGCAGATGAGCGGCCCGATGACAATCTTGAAGACGTCGAGAGGGCCGCCTGTTCAAAACACACCGTCACATTTCAGGTGGAAAGAAAAAGACACGATTCCCAGGCTGCTAATTATACATGAGCCATGCCTGGATGGACACAACAGCAATCATTTTTGTCGACATTTTGAAGTTTTTTGCTGGTAACTGTTTAGTGAAGCTCTGATTTTAGAAGAATTTAATTGAACAGGTGTTCCATCATCTTAGGAAATGTAAGAAAACAGCACTTTTTAAGTTTAGTTTTTCAATTTGTATCTAAATTTGGTAATTATCTTCAACGATCTGAATTTGAGAGAGCAAAATAAAAAAAAAAAAAAAAAAAAGATTCAGTAAATCGCATAAAAAAAAAAAAAAAGATTTATTATTGATCCCAGTTCAAACTTCAAACAATATCCAGGAGATATTCTACATCTTTTTAGAGTTCTCTTCATTAAAATATTTCTAAGTATTTTAATGACTAAACTGCATTTGATTTAGTCTTTTTTTTAGATGTTTTTTTGGTCACATGACCTTGTTCTGAAGAGGAAAAACCCTTCAAATGTTTCAGTAGAGTAAAATGTTCAAGCATGTTTTTAGTTTATGGAGTAAATATTTCAGTTTATAAAGAAAAAAGCAGATTCTCTCTCTGTATGGTGATAAGTGATTCATTCAATAAATATTTTCTTCATGTTTCACTTTGGATAAGAAAATTCAGAGTGACACTGTAAGAAATGTGAGCTTTACTCTCACTTTTTAAAACACGCTGCTCCTATTTTGAATGCAGCTGTACTTTTTGTCCCTCGTCTCCTCTGGTAGTTTTTTATGAAATTTTTTCTTCCACAGACACTTACTCGGATGCTGGACGTAGAAGTACGAGGGCTTGGTCCACGACCCGTTTCCAGCCAGCGACGTGGCTCGGATCCTGACCGAGTAATTCCCAGGATGCATCACGCTCAGCTTGCAGCCGCCGGACGTTTTGTACATGCTTCTGGACACGCAGTGGGGCAGCTCCTGCAAGGAGGTTTTGGAAAATTGACAGTTATTTTTTTATTTCTTCTGAATTTTTAAATGTTTATTCTGACTTTTATGTCAATATTTTACGCTTTAAATCTTCATATTGTGCTTTCCCCAGTAGAAAAACAACGTGTGGCTACAAAAACATGTTTTTGACAGAAACAACAGGCATCTATCCCTGAGATGAAGCTTATGTTTTTTCCCTTTGTTTCCATGGCTACTAAAACACAGCACAGCACTAAAATTACTCGCCCATTAGTTCTCATTAAACTACCATCAGGCAAATTTTGAAATAAGTCACGTAGACATGGCCTCTCCACACTGCTGCGCTCTGTGAATGGAGTTAATTTGTTGCTTATAAATTTGTTGAAAGTTGCTGTTCGAATAAGCCAGTCTGCTCTGTGTTGGAGGAAATACGTAAAATAAGTAAGTCTTTACCTCGGCGTCTCCGACTCTCTTGTAGTTCACCTCATACAGGATGATGATGCCGTTTGGTGCTGCAGGCTCCTTCCAGTATAGGTGCACTGCGTTTTCTATCACTTTATGAGTGATTTCACCCAAGATGTTATCAGCTTTATCTGTGGGGAACAAAATCTTTCAGAATCACATATTTCAACAAATTCAATCATTTTACTAAAGCGATGTTATTTTGTTGCATTTTAGGCAATAAAATGTTTATTAAAAAAGGGTTTGAATTGATTATTTGCATCTTTTGATGTATTTCTAATATTCCACATATGAAAAATTTCCATCAGAATAATTGATAACTAAAATAATCGCTAGTTGCAACCCTAATCAAAAGCTTTCTTTTTCATTTGGAGGTGTTTTACCTTCGGGCATGGTGCGGGCGCTGACGTACGCCGCCATGCTGCAGCGGCTCTGGTCAGTGGGGTCGTTGCAGGCGTGGACCTCAATCTGGTAGCTGGTGAAGTGTCGCAAGTTGGAAATGACCGTGGACTCCTTGGCGTGGACAACCACCATGATCTTTGGGTATTCCTTGTTCTCGTCCTCGTCGTTGGGGACCCTGGTGCTCCCTGGCGGGCTGGCGGCGGTGGTGAGGAAGGGCTGCGTCCTGTTGGCGATGCCCATCACAGAGCGCTTCTGTCTCGGACGTCTAAAAAAAGCAGACGTGTTTAGATTTTAAAAAAGCTGGGGCTGTCCATTTTAACACATGCGATTAGTCTGAAATGTTTAACGCATTTATATTGATTAATTTAAAACCTAACCCGGTCTTGTTCTGCGGTCAACAATGCAGAATTGGAAACGCAAGTGAAAAGATGAGCAAAGAGAGAAAACTTGAATGCCTCGTAACAGAGGCTATAGATCTCAATTCTGAGTTTAAATCCCGCCTACATTTCCTTTGCTGCATGTCTTTTCCCCACTGCTGTCAGAAAACTGTCAAATAAAACGCAGCAGCACCAAAAAATTCTTACAAAAATAAACACAAACACTGCCATGGACATTTGTACAAAACCAAGGTAGTATCTAGCTACTTATTGCATCGTTAAGTTATTATTCCTTCGAAGAACAACCTGTTTGTAGTTAATGTTTCTAAATTACGTCTAAATTACAAAATGACTTCTTTCTGCACATAAAAACTCTGACATTTGATTTGAGTCATTGAGAAAATGTGCGTTTTTACATTTCAAGCTTACCGAGTGAAGCTGTGATTTACTGCAGCGCTAGAATGTCGTTATTAAATTTCACTAAAGGTACAAACATACGTATCTGATGATCTTAAAAAATGAAAACCAGCCTTTTGACTTACTTGACCTCGAAAACTTCATTGTGAAGGTAGTTTTCAAAGGTCTTCCTGTACTCCGAGTCTTCTTTCTCCTTCTTGAGCTCCTTGTCCGTTTTTGGGCAGGCACAACATTTCTTCCCCTGGCCCTTATCCTCCGTCTGGTTCCACTTCTGCTCCTCGTCACTGTCCACCTGAGTGGGCACCCGTGACGGCAGCTTCATTCCTGGTGGCAGGCAGACATGCGGAGCAGGGAACAAAGAGAGACATGGCAGGTGAAATAAACAGCATATTCGCTATATCCACACACTCCTGCAGGGATTGTCTGTCATTGTCAACCTCTGCAGCGGAGATAAATTAACCCTGACAGGACCTCCCTGCAGACTCCAATCTCTATAAACATGCAGGCCTTATAGAATCGATGTGCGAGTGCAGATCGGCGCTGACGGCTGACGTGAGCCGAGCTCGGCTCAGAATAATTGAACCAAAATAAATGTTTGAACTCCGTTTGAACCTGAGCCAGAGCCAAACGAGGGTCTGGACGGTCTGAAGTTTCATTTCCAGATTACGTTCACGAAAAGGAGAAAGAGCTCATAAAAAGAAGTAGAGATGCTTCTCAATTTGTTTCAGAAAAGTGCTGCTTCAGTAGCACAATCTTTTTCCACATCAAATACAAGATCTTTTCTCAAATGGAGGCCTCAAAGAAGGAAAACATTTTTAGAGATCATATGATAATGTAAAATAATAGCTTCTATTCATCTGCAATTAAGTCTCTATCAGGGATTCTGAAAGTCTGACTTGTGTAGTCAGTGTAGTCATCATCAATACATATTGCTGGATTGGACATCAATTATTAGCTCCTGGCCACAGGATCCTGCAGGTGCTGTTACTGTGCATTCAGCCAAATCATTAAACCTCAAAGATCTGATTTGGGAAAAATTGGAATCTGTCACAAATTGGTTGTAGCACCTTTCTTTTTTTTATCCTATTTGTATAAAATATCACTTAAATTAAAGCTAAGAAAATGATCAATGTTTCAATAAGTAAAACATGTATGCATAAACAGTTTAATTTCTGTCATTTCTGTCTCTTATATTGGACAATAATTTAATTTTACATAGTTGCCACTGCAGAAAACAAGAGTTAAAATTTTACTTAATTGATCCTATATTTTATTTCTGAAATGTTACCCTATTTGATGATTGTCATGAACATTAATGCAGTTTTGGTAATTTATGAAACTCTTACAGCTACAGTACACCACCACAAAAGGAAAATAACTGCAATAACTCAAAATTAAAAACTCAAAACTACTCTTATTCTTCTTTTCTTTCGCTCTCTGTATCGGCTTCCTGCTAAACATGGAAACCGTCTGACAGCAGTTCCACTAGCTGACAGAGTGGAGATTACATCAAAGTGTATGAAAAAAAACCCTGAAAAACATTTCCACGCAAAAATGATCCATAAACAATAAGAAACTTTAGATTCAGACAATAATTGACTGTCTGAACACGAGCAGTGATTGATTAGTTTAAACACCTGCTCCACTGATGATCTATTTGAGTAAGAAAGTAGATGTTTTGGGTCGCATTTTTTTAGTTTTAACTGAACTGAAACAAACTGTGTAGCACAAGTACATGCCAAGCGAGCATAACTAACCTATTCACCACTATATACTGTATATAAATGTTCTTATTCGCCTGTGAAATGTGATACTTTTGGGCAAACAATAGCAAAACATTGCATTAATTTAGATTCTTTACATGATTGTGTCATTTTCCCAACAGTCATCAGTATTCAGAACTGGATGCCTAGCATCGGCGCATCTTTGCTGCACAATAAGTGAATTGACGGCCCATCCAGTAACATATATCACTGGAAAAAGTACTAAAAATCTCTGAAGTGACATTAGCCATTATGCAAAGTCGTAAAACCCTCCCCCAGAAGGCCAGAAACCTTCCCACCTTTCTGGCAGTAGTCAAACTTGTAGAGCTCGCTGGCCTCAGGCTGGCGCTGGTAGAAGACCAGGTAGTGGGTGATGTTCCCGTTGGGATCGTTGGGAGGTTTCCACTTCAGGATGATCTGAGTCGACGAATTGGAGGAAGACATGGGGTCCAGTGGTACGGAGGGTTCTGCACAGACATTGAGGAAAGAACTGTTAACCAGGAAAGATATTTAATGCTCAACAGAGAAAAAATGACAACTAGGATTTAAAAAAGACTTTGTGTCTTGTATGCTATGGACAAAATTCAGGGGTCCTTCTTCTTTTCATGCCCACGTTTCTAAACAATTGCACATCAATTTATTTTTTGAGTATTTGGAGTTAATGTTCAGAAATATTCTCAAATCTAACATGTAATTTTGCTGAAAAGCCTGGCTTTATTTTCTATTTCCATTCATTTTGATTCTGATTCTCATTTGAACCAGTTGACTAATACGCCTCTTGATCATTCTAAAACAACTTTTAATTAATTGCAGTCACACAATCTAATTTCCTTAAACATAAACTATGACTAGAATGGAAAAAATACTTTGGTTTGTAAAATGGGTACAAAATCATTTAAATGTTTTACTTCAACAAATAAATTATAAGAGATTTTACTCCAGTTTTCAACTAATTTCTTCTATCAATAGTAGCTGAAAAATTTAGCTCAGAAAAAAGGACGTATTGTTACCAAGCTTCTGGTTTCTGGTCTAAAATGTAGCAATGGAAATGCACTAAATGCATTTTTTCACAATTTAGAGATAACCCACTTCATAGATTTGGAACAAATCTAGATATACATCACAGTTCTTTGTTTTAGAAATTAAGAGTGGAAAATTGCAGTTTCGATCCACTTTGTATTTCAGATTGTTGCTCGATAACTTAGCGCTTACTGGCACGTCGCCGCCTGCTCAGGTTCTCCCCGCACTGCTTTTTAGTGTTTGATGTTTGCGACATCAACTGCTTTGGTTTTTGGCCGCAGGCCTCGATTCCACAAGTGGAAGGAAAATGGTACTCTGCTTTAAATTGTTTTACTTTTACAAATAAAAGTCTGAAAATTGCCCCTTTTACTCAGATGAATCCAAATAAAAGACAGAATTTTCTTAACAAATCCCTTATTTGGCATGTGTAATTTTACTGCGTGAGTTAAATTAAGTTTCACAGAGGTGTCTGCCTACCGACACAGAGTTGAAGTTCAAACTCGGTGGTGGCAGAATAATGCTATGGGAATGGTTTTTCTCAACGTAACTTAGATGGGGTTAAGCAATAGAAAAAAAAAACTGTAAATGTTGAAAAACTCTAATTTTGGTAGGAGGCTCGCTGTTGGATAAATGGCCCAGTCAAAGTCCAGACCAAAATCAAATAAAGAATCTGGCGTGGTTTTTAATTGCTGCCCTCCATCCAATCTGAATAAGGCTTGAACAACTTTGCAAAATATTTGGAGATTCTACAATAATTGACTAAAGAGGGGATGGCATCAAATGTACACCACACTTTTCAGATTGATCTCTAAAAATGAAAAACAATGGATCCGTTTCCTTTCCCTTTAGATCAAACTGTGGTTTGAGAAAAACCACCTGCGGCCCGCGTGTTTATTTGTCATGACGTTAGCTCAAAGTGCGGTGCAACCGTTAGCTTACCAAAGGATTGAGTTTAAACGTAATAATGGATAAATGGCTTAAGAACATGTCACTAAAGAGAAAGCTGGAAGATTCTGGGAGAAAGTTTCTAAGGGGGAGTTGCAGAACTTTTGTTTCTGGACATTATTAGGATACATAGCTGTAGGTCTGCGACATGATGCTGGCGAGTCGGTGAACAGCGCTGCGCCCCACGCTGACTAACTGCATCTTAATACCTAAAATAAAACTATTTATGTTGGGCTGTGTACTAGCTGGAAGAGAATGTTTTTGCCAACACAAGTCTATGTGTCTTTTATTATGCCTCTAATTTACAAATAGCCCTGAAACTTTATTAGTGCTCGAAATACTTGTAGTAAAGAACTTTTTTGGTTTTCTATCAATGGAAACCTTAGAATTTACACTTTCAGTCTCTGTAAATAAATCAAAACTCCCCCAGTTGATGTGTTCATGGTTTTATTGTGGTCAGTCACATTTACAAAACAGCACCACCCTTCATACTATGAGGAACAAAGTCAATGAGTTGAGAGACTAGTATTTTAATTCGAGGTTGTATATATTAAGATTTTGTGTTATTGTCGAGGTATAACATCAAATTCCAGTTTGAGATTATAATCTGACAAAATGAGAGAAACTCAAGGATTGTGGATAGATTAGCGTCTAAACAATGGACGTGTTTTACCCCTATGTGAAGCTGCCGCCATAGTTATGAACTGACTTTCTTTTAGTTCAAGGTCATTTTAAGGACTTGGGTTATTGCATCAATCACTGTCAACAAGCTCCACATGACTAGAAGCTCAGTCAGTGTGAGATTTATGAAAACTGAGGGATTAAAACACGAGAGATTATTGGTAGGATTAAATACAAAAGACTTTAAATTGCTAATCTCTGTTTTTACTCTGCTGTACATTTATAGTTTAGATGATTTTAGCCTGAAAGTCTTAACAGATGATGTGGGAAGCATGTGTAGCTGCACTATGCAATATGTAGTGTGTGTGTGTGTGTGTGTGTGTGTGTGTGTGTGTGTGTGTGTGTGTGTGTGTGTGTGTGTGTGTGATTGAGCACTACATGTTCTGAGATTTACTGCCCCCGTGTTCTGACGTTCCTCCATGACAATGCGACGAGCTGGTTTGACCGCATTGTCAGACAAGGTTTCATCAGCGCCAACTTATACTTAATGACAGCTTTGCCCTTCCAATGAGGAATGTTGGTGAGACGCGACAGCGACCAGGAACCGGGAGCAGTCGCCAAACGGGCACAAAACAACGCTCCCCCGGCACGGCTGGCTGGCCGCGGCGTCGCGGCTGGAGATTTGTTTTGTGCGAGCGACTGCTGTCATGTTTGATGCGGTTTGCAGGGAAGGAAATATATTTTTTCTCAAAGGAAGACAGTCAGACAGGTCACAGTGTCTGTAATTAGGCCGAGCTGCACGAGGCAGGCTCAGTGGGTGGCAGGGTACATGAAGTTACAGAGGAACCGAGGTTTGGTTAGACACCTTGCATGAGGTGGAGTCTTGTCAGGTCAGCGGCAAAAATAACCATCCAGCTTCCTGTTCCCTGTTTGTCTTATTTTTGTTTTAAAGCAACAAACTACCAGTTTGTGAATTTCATCAAACTAGACCTGCAACTAAAATTTTTATTCAACCACTTAAGCTTATTACCTACAATTTTAGAAATATATCAAAAGATGCAAATAAACTAATAACTCAATTCATTTTTAAATAAGAAAAATATTTTATTGCCTACATCCCAGTAGCAGCGTTCCTTTAGTGATGATTTGTAGCGAACGATGCATCTGCATAAACATGTGAGAATCTTTTCTGCTTCATTCAACATCAGTCCAGTTTAGTGCTCATCTAATTGATGTATTTTAGATTAACATATTAATAATTAGAAAAATAGGTGATTTTTTTTTTGTGTGTGTGTGTTTACACAGTTTTAACCAAGTGAAAGTAAAAGTACGCAACTGCAAGAGATTTCTGTAAAACATATTTATAGTCAATGGTGTTTTTTATCTTTAAAATGCTAAATATGTATATTATGGGCCTGGCGGGGCACCAGGCTTTACTTGTGTCCCCACCAGGCTCATCATTGCTTATTTATTTTAGTTCTTTAAAAATGTTTGCATTTTGTTGTGTTCAGATATTAATCTTCCAATCTAATCTTCCAACAACATGTAATTATTAAGTGATATTTAAAAATTTTCTGTCAACGTTAAACATTTTTTTTAACTTAAAAACACGGCGGGCCGCTGGATGAATGACTGCTGAGCGCCCCAAACACACGGCTTAGCACGTTTTCTGGGTGGAAACCTTGGAAATGTATATATTTGTTACTTTTTGAGTCGGTATGCTCCAGTTAATAGTTAATCAATTACTAAATTAGTTGATTATTTCAGGAATCGATTGATCACGATTAATTTGATTAATTGTTTCAGACCTACTTTTGATGTTTTGATGGTGTATAAAATTATCTCACAAAAATTACATCAAGACAGGAAAGAAAAACAATCAGAACCATTTATTTGAGTCTTACTGGTGGCATTTGTGCGAACGTAGATGATATCGCTCTTGGCCCCGTGGACCTGATGCTCGTCGGACGCGGAGAGCTGCGTTTTCACCATGATGGCGTACTGCGTCCACGGCTTCAGCGGCAGGATGAGATGACCCGGCTCGACCTGGTCTTTGTCTCGGCGCGGCGGGTCGACGTCAGCGATCACCCAGCTGTTTGAGCCGCAGGCGTCCTGCCCGTCAAACTCCGTTACGTTCTTAAAAGGGCTGCACCCATCAAAAAAAAAACAATATAAAAATGAAGCTCAGTGAGTGTTTTACATGGGGAAGGAGGCTGGGATTTAATATGTTTTACTGCAATTTGTGAGCAGTTATTGAATTAATCAGAAGAAAACATCTGATGACTTGTGTTGTTAAACTTTATATATTATTCAAGGGAGCTGAGTGGTGTACAATTTGTATAAAATAGAGGATATATTAAAAGACAGTTGTCATCAAAAGAATTTATGGAAGAGGATAAAAAGAGGATTTTTATGTTTTATGTTTTTAAACACATTTCTCTCTGAAACACCCGGTTCACCTGACTGGCTGGTCCAAGAACAAAACTCTAATTTAACAAAAGAAATTGTATAATATATAAGATAACCTGTATTTTGATTACAAAGATCAAAATTGTGTTTGAATGTCCAGCATTTTCAAGGAGTTTATACAAAAATCAAGCAGGTACCAAGCCCTCAAAACACATAATCGAAATTCAAGCAGTCCAAGCACTTTTAAAGTCCCCAGGCTTTAGCATTTATTTAAAAATATAAAATATTATATCAATCGTTTAAACATGGAGAAACAAAAGTGGAAGGAAGGAAAGAAGGAAACACAAAGATGGAAAATAATAAATAGGAATGAAGGGAAGATGGAAGAACTGGAGGGAAAGAAAGGAAGGAAGGAGACAACAAAGGAAAGGAGGATGAGAGGTAAAAATGAAAAAGATAAAGCCAAATTAGACAACAGGAAGGAAGGACACAAGTTTATTCACTTCCACATTTTGGGGGTTTTAAGAATCAGAACTGATTTTAGAAATGACAGAGTTTCCACAACGCTGAGCTTTTTTTTCCCCTTTCACTACGAATCTGAAATAACCACCGTCTGGTTCTGCTCCCGCCTCCAGGCGGACTTACGCTTCTTTGTAGAGAACCATGAAGCCCAGCAGGTCTCTGAAGTCCGGAGGCCAGAACGGTTCCCACTTGATCATGATCTTATCGCTCATGGTTTTGATCTGGGTGAACTTCAGCACGTGGTTCTCACCTGGAAAACAAAGTGGGACAACAATTTGCTCAGAAAATGGCAGCAAAAATATTTGTGTTTATAGATTTATTTGACATTTGTCACCTGCAGATTTTCAATAATTTTTTTCCCATCTCCATAAATCATAAGGATGCAGATTTTTTTTTTTCACACTGGCGCTATAGTATTTAGATTAAACTGCCTTTCAAAGGCTTCTAGAAAACGTAAAAAAAAATGAAATGCAGTAAAAAATCAGCACAAATGTTTCAATACCTTGGGAAGTCCTACTTATTTCCCCACTTATTTTAGTATAAAAACATTCCTGTCAATTTTTAGAGAGATTATTTCTTTTTTTGTCTTCTTAGAAATCCATATGTTTGACAATATTCTAAGAAAACAGTAAGAAAGCTTCTTATCGCCGCTACAAAGAAAAGAAAATGTCTTGCTATGTGCAGCTGAGCGGAAAAATTTGCTCCAGCCTAGTGACCTTCACAGCTGAGATCCTTGTTGTTCAAGTAAAGGTCAGATGGAAACCAAGTTTAAGAATTTCTACAAGCAAAAATTTGAAAGAAGACGATCAAGACTGAACAAATTAAAAATACTGTTTTGATTACTACAGCATCAACCTGATGAAGCCTGTCTAAATGTCATTCTTCAGACAATTTATCCTGGTTATTCTCTCTGAGAAAAGAACATTTCTGATTTATTTTTTACCTGAGTTAGCCGTCAGCCTCTTACAGACAACTCCTTCTTTAAGCAAGGCATTTCTTTGGAGGGATTACTGTCAAAACTTTGTGCTTCAGCGCTGATTGAGTGTTTTGTTACGTTTTTCTCTCCCAGCTGGAACCAACAATCCTGCTGCAATCGTCATCGCAACGGTGCAACTCTAAAACTTCTTTCACGGACAGAAACGACCGGGATTTTTTATGTCCAATCATTTGTCAGACTGGAATTGAATTCACTGAGATATATAGTGTTTTTTTTTTTATAAGTACATAAAACAAAAGAAACATTAAGAAGGGATACAACAAAAATCTTAAACTTTCAGAGTGAATATTTTCAAATTTTGCCACAAGACGAGCATAAAACAGCACATTTTATTGGGATTATTCTCGGTAGAATCATGTATAATCCCAAAAATTACAGCAGCCTGAGGTTATAAAATAACAACACAAGGTTTGAACAACTCACAGAGAGAAAATGGAAAAGATGGTGGCAAAACTGCAAAACTACCAACACATGATTATCTAAACGGACAGCGAAGCAACTAGGAGATTCTTGGCAACTCTGGAGGAAGCCGCAGAGATTCACAGTTAAGTGCAGAAATCTGTCCTGACAACTATCAGTCATGCACTTCACCGATATGACCTCCAAACATTTTCAGATTGTTGCCACTTTTGGTCAAAATTGTAGGTGTAATAATATTTGGTGGCGTCTCTGCACAGCCAATTTGAAGATGAAACCTATTTCTTCAAATACTGGAGTAAATGGGAGAAAGACTTCAAACCATACATGCCAGAAATAATTGAGAATATTATTGCAAAATGAGGAAGAATAAAAATGTAGAAAGGATGTGACTTGATTCTACTTTTTATTCTATTACCAAGATCAACTTGATCAATCTACTGCAATGTTGGTCTATAGTTTCAAACAATGCTACACTTGTCATAGTCCAATACTGTGTGAATTTTATTTGTTTTTTACGAGCTTCATTTCTGTTTTTACAAACAAAAAATAGATAGAGACAGAAGAGAGAGAGAGTGTTATGTGCAAATAGGCTGTGGAATGAGAACTGAAGAAAACAAAATAACAAAAAATAGTGAAAAAAAATGAAAAGAGAACCATGTCTTATTATCTTTCATCTTCTTGGGTGAAAGACTTCCTGGTCTGTAACATAAAATCCCCAAAACATTTAGGGAAGTTTACAACATGCTAATAAATAAAGACGTTCAAGGGAAAGGAATACTTTTGCACGGTTTTCCACTGTGCTGCTTCTTCTTAGAAAAACAAAATCAGTGTAAATGTATCCAGGAAGTTATCTACAAACACAAGACAGGAAGCGACCTTTATAACAATAACAGCTGTGCCAGGCGTCAGTGTGTGTCGTCTGATACAACAGTCACGTCTGCAGACTGCGGTTCCTTACATGAAGCCTGGTCTCCGTTGGTCTTGGAGGCGATTTCATTATTGGCCCGTCGCTCCTTGGTTCCCGTCACCTCCTCCATCTTGCGGATCTCAGACATGCAGAGCTTGGAGTTGTAGTGGAAAAACATGCGGCCCTGCAGGATGATCAGCTTGTGTTTGGACCAATCCCAGAGCTGCCGCAGGTTCTGGTTATCCAGGGCGTAAAATGAATAATTCCTGGAAAACAGAGCATGAACTCACAGTGAGCATTGAAGGCTATATCTGACTGCAGCGCTTTAAATAAGAAACATCCACCACAATTTCTGGACTAAACTTTGTTTTTCTTTTTGAGAGGTCAAACCAAAAGTACAAACAAAGACATTCTGAAAAGGTCAGGCTGTCTACTTTTAACTCATAATTACAGGAAGAGGCTCTGAAATAGTTAAGGACGAGGGAGAATTACCCGATTTCCTGTTCTTCTCCGCGAATGAGGCGGAGTTTGCGGAAAAATGAGAGGGATACGAGAGCGTAGGACCGTCGAACTGTGAGGTAACCAGTGATCTCCTCCAGCTGGCCCAGGCTGGCCTCCAGCTCAGCTGCAATGTTGTCTAGAAAAAAAAACAAAAAAAACATTGAAACAAATCCTAAAGCAAGAAAAGTGAGTTTTTAGTGGCAGTAGAGACAATTATTCAACCGTAACTGGACATAAAGAAAAGGGGAAGGACAACACATTTGTTTTAATATCAACTGTATCTTTAATATGTTTTGTTTTCTAGCTGCTTGACTGGATGCTCTTGACGTAGCCTCTTTGTTTTGGCTGACGTGTAGCCATGCGACACAACCAAACGGACCGCAGGTACTCACTTCCTCCCCGCAGGTTGATGACCAGGCTCCCATTGAGGACGGTGCAGCCCCTCAAGGCCTGGGCGGCAGTGACAGAGTCCACCGTCTTTAGACCCATGCATACTTTGGGACAGGGTCCTGCGCAGGGCGTGCAGCTGAGACTAACAAGATACCAAAAAAAAAAAAAAAAAAACATTAAATCAAGGAGTTTAGAAAATATCCAATAGCAGAAGTGTATGCTAACCCGAGTACCTCTTTTAATAGTTCACCAACGAGTATCTTATTTACACTAGAGCGCAAAGTGAGAGTGTTTTTGACTCAGCAAAATATGCCAATTATTTATATCTGACTTAAAAGATAACTAGAGTAAGTCTGTTGCAATTGAACTAAAGTACTATAACACAGACTTTGAAATAGTGTTGATTTATAAATCACTGAACCAATTAGCACCAAAATACATAAAAGATCTGCCGTTGGGATATATTCTGATCAATAATTAGTCAATTGCTAAATTAGTTGACGGTTATTTCAATAATGATTGAACATTGATAATTTCAGCCTGAACTGTGATTACCACTTTCATGTTCAGTTGAAGTCAATTTTATTTGAGTGTAAGAATAGATTTGTTCTTAAAAATGGTGAAAAACTGTGGTTTCGTTTAAATTAAAAAAATATATATATATCTAATTTGAAAATACTTTATTTGTCCCAAAGGGAATTTAATCTGTGGATGTAGATTGATAAAATAGTGGTAAACGGTGGATGCAATATGTCAACAAATCAAAAGTTGTTGCAACAATGAAAGTGAGCAGCAGCTGATCTGCGACGTGCTGCGAGCCGTAGCGATGTTGTAACAGTAGATCAGATTAACAAACAGCTTCCAACAGCAAAACAAGCGTCTCATGTGATGAAATTTTTAAAAAACGCCAGGCGGAAATAAGCCTTTCTATCTTCCACATAGCAAGCATTGAGCATTGTTTATTTACTTAGTGCATAACTTCCCTGAACCGTCTTGACCCTTTTTGCTTTTTTCCTTACTCTCTGGTGCCACATCTGCACTTTTACTGACTGCGGGGAGAGCACCGCTCATCCTAACAGTGAGCCAAAAAGGGGAACAGAGACAGTCACAGTGCGAAAAGCCGAGGCTCTGAGTCCAAATGGGTTCACTACAGGTCGACAGTAGCCTGGAGGTTCAGATGTACAGGCTTTGTTGATTCATTTCCCTGGTAAAGCAAGAGCAAATCTGCCCAGAGAGTGGCTACTACCTATGCTAGATTTTGAGCGGTTTTATTCTGGAGACAGGAAAAAAATCTATAGCTTATCTCCAAAACCTGGCAAAAATAAACTAAACACTTCAGTTTAATATGTGATCATAAAAAGAGGCTTTACCCAACATATATGGGTTATTATTAAATTTTTTCCAAAGATTAGCTTTACACTTCAGAAGCTCAACGCTGAGAGGAATGAGTATTTTTTCTGTCTGAAGAAAGGCTGCGCGGGCGCTGCGTCTGCTCTCTAGCTGCTTGTCAGGTGTGAATAAGCGCCATGTGACTCTTTAGACGTGAAGGTGCACACTGTTCAAATGGGAGATTATGTACTCTGCAAATCCTCTGTGGATTAATAAAGGTTAAACACACATAACGTCACAAACAACCAGAGCACAATGGCTTTTCCTCGTCACAGCTCTGAGCGACGGCTTGTCTGGTCTTCGCCGCTGCAATCAGCTTGTAAACAAACCTTTTTATTTCCTGCAGAGAGCCAGAAGACCTAACGAAGACTCTAGTCAGAGTAAATAGCGCGTCTGTCACATTCTGCTGGTGTCAAGACATTCATGATTTACAGAATTCACATTGATTTTTTTTCCAGGGCAAAATTCCAGATTTTACCAGATTCCAATTTCAGGAATTCTGAATTGTTTTTGGTTTTTAGGTACAAATAAAGTTAAAAATTAATTTATGACAGATTAACGAACATACTACAGGATTTATATATGTATGCATGTACGGATCTTTATTACCACACAATAAAGTTTTTTAAGTTTTAAAAGTTTCCCATATTTATTCCCACCAGATGAATCCTTAAATCAAACTTCTTCCTTGTCCTCTCAGCCACTGACAAACTGGCTCTGAAAACAGAAATAAAACCCCCGAACATGTCAGCATGACTCCTGACTGCGATACGAGGACAAACGTCTGAACATAACAGGCTATAAACGACTGATCCATTGAAAGCAGCCTTCACGTCTCAGTAGCTGCATTTGCATACCACTCGATCTCTGCAATGCAGACACCTGCAGACCAGAGAGCGACACCAAAACGAGGAACAGTGAGTCAGAAACACAGATGTGCCAGTCTTCCTGCACTGCTGCAGCGCTCTGACCTCACTGTTAGTTTCTGTGTGCAAAAACAAACAGCGCTTTGGGGACTTTCAGGTCCTTCTGTTACAAACATGAAGCAGGGGTTTATAGTTCATATTAACAAAATAAGCAACGTTTTCAATTCCAAAACCCTTTTAGCTGCTAAATTATTGAATAAATAGGCACATAAGCTCAACAACAAGGATACTTATTGCTGTTCTGTTATTCAACCATAAAATTTGCAAAAATGTATCATCTTTGAGAAAATGATTCTCTAGAAATATAAACTGTGGATGCTAATCATGCTTAGCATTTAGATGCTATTTTAGGCTTAAATAGTTTTGTTGACAAACACATTTTGTTTTGCAAAATTGGCACACAGAAAAAGTATTTTCCAACCTTTCATCAGATTGTGTTTTCAAGCAAAAATTAACCCCTGGTGGGGGAAGAAAGGTGGATTTGTTCATCACTATTGTTTGCAGACGTCACTTGTGCGTCAGATTGACAGATCGACCAGATAACATTACATAAAGGTTCCAGTTCAGGACTTTTCTATGTAAAACTTACAAATAAATAAAAATCTATTAAATTAATTGTATTTAGCTCATTAAGAGTCCTGGCCCTAGTTAATATAAATTTTACCATGAACTGGTTAAAGACTTTTAAGAAACTTTAAGCTTTAATACGGTTTTTTAAATATCCTTTGAGGTGTTTTCCTGGTATTTCTAAAAATGGAAAAATAAATATTAATTTAATTTTAATATTAAAATTAATATATCATATGAAAGTGATATGTGTGGGAGTGATATGTGTGGGAGTCGGAAGTGGGCCTTGTTTTCTATAGCAGAGTACAAACGGAGCAGTTTTCAAAATAAAAGGATGATAGCTTTGTTTCAGTTTAGTGATACATTAGTTTTTCATCCTAAAAATGGAGAGATCTCTGTTACTAAAAGAGAGGAGAGGAGAAACAGCATGAGAGAGGACGCTGGTGAGAGAATGATCTGTTTCCATGCTAATCGCCGACCCTCAGCTCAGTCTGCAGCTTTTTCACTGATGCACTCACGCTATTGGCCGTGTAATTTTGCGTCATCGAGGTCAAAGTTCAAGAAATTTCTGACAACACTGTGCAGACTTCAGTGACTTGGAGGGTTGATCAACGCCAAGTATAGTCAGAACGCTGTGTGGCGCATTGAACCTCAAACAAATGAGGTTCAATGTTTCTTTCTTCCATCTTTATTTTCCTCCCTTTTCTTTTTATCTCTTATTTTCCCTTGTAGTTTTGCACCCTTCTGTTCATTTTGTCTTTCTTTCCAGATTTCTTTTAGCATCTTTGTGTCCCTTTTTCAGTCTTTCATTCTACCATTTTCTTGTCATCTATCCTTGTTTTACAATCAAACCTATTCCTGTCTTTGCAGGATTTTTGTCCATGTTTCATTGCATTTTTCATTGTTTTTCCAATTTTCTTTCTTTTGCCGTTTTTCTATTTGTCGTTTTCGTTACTCATTTTTATTTTCGTTCCATCTCTTTTCTTCTCTGCACTGTTCTTGCAGTTAAAATACAGTTAAAACAATCTTTCAAAAAAATATAAATATGGGAAATACAAATTATAATACTCATCTCACAACCTGACAATCTTTGTTTTCCTTTTTCAATGGTTCCTTCTGTGATTTTCTTGCCATCTTTTTTTTTCACTTCAGTCATATTTAATTTATATATTTTAAATTTCTTTTGCCCCACTTCTGTTCTTTTTGATCACACATCAAACACAAGTGATGTAAAAAAGAAAAAGCACACATTTTGACTTAAAACAACCCTAGTTACGGAGCAAAGATGCAAAATAAAATGTATTCTAAAGCAGCATACAACGCACACTTCACTGATTAAACATCTTTCCTGCAGGCCATCAAGCAGCCATCAGACCGTCTCGAGTGTCCACTTACGTGGAGGAGTTGCCTATCGAGTAGCCAGAGGGACACTCTGGGATGCAGGCACCGTTGTGGATGACGTATTCGTAGCAGTCAGGGCTCTTTTCCTGCTTGCACCTGTTGTGCAGATCCTGGCAGAAGGCGAGGGAGACGCAGCGCCAGCCCTTGTAGGTGAAGTAGTTTTCTGGGCAGCGCTCCACGCAGCTGTCCTCGTGCAGGAGGCCGCGGCAGGCCACGCAGTGCCTGGGCGAGTTGGGGCTCAGGCAGCCGCCCAGACACTGGTAGTGGCAGCAGGCGTCGTTCTTGGTGCAGGCCCGGTGTGTGCAGTTAATAGGACACACTGCGTGGAGAGGGGAGAGACATTCAGTTTAGACGGAGCAGGTCCAGGGGAGATTTTAGATCTTGCAGGCCATAAATGTGCATGCGTTATATTTTTAGTTTAAATGTCAATCACAGAAATGTTACACGGTAAGATCTTTCCTTCAACAGGAGAGAAATCCCTCACACGGCATAAGGCAGAGGATCATCTGTCATGTGGCAACAAGCGTACCAGTGGTGCAACCCAGACAGCAGGGGTCCACCACTGGTCATTAAAGAAGCACATACTTATCCAGAACACTGGTGGTCAGTAAGAACAAACTGCAAACAGTATTTAAAGCAGAGGTGTCCAAAGTGACCCTCGGAAAAATTGTGGCTCTCAGAGTCGAGCTGGGCGACAGATTGAAACGTTTTATTGCAATATTTTCATGTGATAATGGTAAACATGTCAATAAGAACGATTTATTTCTTCTTTTGTAGGTAACTGAATGGCTGTGAATGCATTAAGTAATTTTATTTCTATAGCACATTTTCAGATACAAGGCAATTCAAAGTGCTTTACATAAATTTGAAAAAAATTCAACAAAACAACAATCCAAGGAAAGAGCAATAGAAGAAAAATAAGTTTGTCCTAATTCCTGTTTTGGGTCAAGTGAAAAAATGAAGTAGATCTTCATGTTATAAGTAAAGTACTTCATAATTTATAAGCTACAAGGAGTTTCTAGGTTATAATATAATTACACAGCAATTATAGCCCAGAAGGCACAAATAATGCTCTTGAGAAACATTCCCATTTGTAATCACATAAATAAGAGAGACTTGTTTCACTAAACTCCACACACCAACTGTATTTAATCATATTTTTAAATTTATTGAGAGTTGTTAATGCTCTTGTTGAACAAACAGTTTTGGCGTAGCTAAAAGAGGCCACAAACCTTTAAGATCCTTCAACCTACTTTGAGACGATTCCTTTTACAAATATGGAGATAATCAGGCCTGAGTGTGGCTGACAAGACTGATCCAAAAACAATCCGGGTAATTTCACTGAATATATGATTTATTAGAATTTGAATTATCTGGTCACATACTGTCAGGTAGGTTGTGACTGTTTTCTTCCCCCTTATAGATGAAATCCTGACATATGCCTGTTTGATTTTAAAATTTGTTTGAAGACCAGAAAAACTTAAATGTAACAAAAAAAAAATCATCAGTTATTTAAGGCCTAAAATTAGGAGTTTGGGGATTTTCTGGATTTTTTAAATATCTTGTAGATGCTTACAATAAATCAGTTAATTGAATGATGAATTAAAATAAAAATGTCCATTAACATGATTTATATTTTTTCATCTTTTCTCTCTCTTTCTCTACTAATCACTGGATGATGAAAGTCTTCAGTCTGATGTCTCAACAAGCCCTTTTTTGAAGGACAATTCTGTGTAAAAAGCCTTCATAATTCATCTTATTTGTAGTTTCTGTAGTTTTATTGATCTATTTTGTATATTTAAAACTTCCAGTTCCAGTGTTAAATGTTTGAATTTGAATTTAAAGGTTATTGATCTTTATCGTTTATCGCAATAACTTCTGGGACAATTTAATGTCCAGCTAAATGTGCAACAGACCAATTTGTTATCACTAATTCACACTGTGGCTGTTGCAATAAAAAATAAATCAATTAATCACATGCTAAATTAAAACAAACTCAATAACTTTCCTTTGTATGACTTATTGTTTTTCTTTTCTCTTTTTTGGTAGAAACAATTCTACCCAAGCTGCATTTTTTTAAGGACAATTTTGTTAGCATAAACTTAATATTTTATTTTCTTGATTCTGTTTATATACGGTAGTTTATATTTTTAAATAGTCTTCCAGTTCCAGTGTTAAATGTTCATCAAAATTTAAAGTTTATTGATGTTTGAGAATGTGTCCTTGCGTTTTTATGTCATTGCCATTATATCACTTGAAAATTGTCTCAGAAAAACAATATTATCATTTATCGCAATAAATTCTGGGACAATTTATGGTCCAGAAAAAATTGTTACCGTGTCAAGCCTAATTAACATTGTTTTTTAGTACATTTAAATTATCTTATGCAATTGGTATCTTTGCTGGAAATGTCACAGTAAATTAAACTGTATTGGTCTTTGTTGGTTTAAAGCTTGACGGTGCACAGAGTGAAACTCTACTGTTGCATAACCTTCAAGCCGCGCTGATTTGCAGGTGGGTTTAGCTAATAGCGACAGAATGCAGGTGAGGACAAAGTGTGCGAGCGTAGATGAAGGATTCACCGACTAACTTGAATGCTAGAGATTAACCTCTCGTCCATGAAAGCCAGATTAAATCTGTTACGCAGTATGTGTTTGTGTGTATGTGTGTGGAGGAGCTGCCAGTCATTGAGGTCAGAGACGGATAACAGGTCAAACCATACATACAGGTGTCTTTGAGACTATAAAAGAGTAAAAAACTAATTTTATGTTTTCAAAAAAGTGGTTTCAGCAAACAGTAGGGACGTGTGTCAAACAGACTCATCATTTGTCCTTCAGAAGAAGAAAACAACAGACTGTCCTCTCCCACTATCTGAGGGAAGCATGAAGAGCTGCAGGAACATGTGTGTGTGTGGAGTGGCAGAAAGAGGAGATTGGCAACATGAGAGGGCGGCGAAGGGGGGAACAGTGGGGCGACGTGGCTGTAAAAACAAATGATATAACCACTGTTCATTTTTCATCTTCACACAAGTTGAAGCTTTTATTTCCCTTTCTATTTGTTTGGAAAGCTGCTCTTAAAGCTGTCCCCACATGCATATTTGCACACAAACATGTGGAGCGCAGCAGAGACTCCCGATCCTCGGCCAGCGCTCCACGCCGCAGCACAGTCCCAGCAGCAGATCCACCCTCAGTCTTAGCCAATGTGTTGACTAGCTGCTGCAGCCAGCCATTCAACTGGTCTCTCCCATCTCCAAGGAAGACAGCTACAACCGTTAACCCTCTCTATTCCTTCAGAGCGAGAGAGGGAGAAGCTGTGAACGGAAAATCTGCCACAAGAGTCGCACAGAAACAAGCCGGCGCTGAATGAAAGCGAGTCTCGCTGCCTTCGCTGTGCTGCACTCATTCACGAGTTTAGGTCTCTATTTACTATGCATGGCTGCCGTAAATAAAGGAAAGCTCCTGTTGAGAAGAACAGAGAGTTCTACAATAATGGGGGTCACGCTCATGTCAAAACAATTATGGTTTGTTATTATGAGGCCGAGCAGCTTCATGCCTCAGTACATTAATCATCTCTCCACTCAGCCATGACTTTAGGAGATTCTTATGGACTCAAATGTAATATTTTCAATTGCATGAACATTTAAAATCAAAGTTTATTGGCTTGGCTGGTGGGGGGTTTTGGTTCTGAATTTGGGCATTTACCATGTAGTGGATTAGAGATGACTCCCTAATTTAATCTAGACAATCTTTTCATTAAAATAAAAAGTAGATTTCACTTACAGTAAACATGACTTAGCTCAGAAGAACGACTTGAAAACAGATTTTTGCGACATAAATCTATTTCCATAGCCCTAGATTTCCTTTTTCATTTTTAGGGAATGAATTTAATGTTTTGAAAAAATCCCAAATTGTGGTTTAAATAATTTGTAATCAGTGTAAAATCATCTGATCCAGGTTTAATACAAATAATATAAATAATCTTTGTATCTTCACTAATGGATTTGATGATTTATTATTTAAATAACTTCAGCACTTAATTAATTAGCCCATAAATATCAAAATTTGTGTGGCACAATGGCTTAGTTTTATTCATTAGATTTATTTTAAGAGCAGTTTTAGATTGTGTGCACCATAGATTTGTAGCCAGAAATTCAGCAATAACATTTCAAATGTATTCTTTGTGCTACTTTTATGCCATTATAAAAAGAAATACAACAATATATTGTGCATACTGGCAATAAAGATTATCTACTGCTTATTGGAAAGGGTCAAAATAATTTTCAACATCCTATTTCTATTCAAATTAAAAATAAAAAAAATTATTAAAATAGTTTAAAGAAGTACTTTGCCGTTTTCTTGATATTTTTGATCCAAAATAAACTTTTTAGTTGACTTGAAATAATTTTAAAGCTAAATCTATAAGTGTTATGAATAAATTTGGACTTAAGTGAATAGCACAATTTAATAAATGCCTCATTCCAAGACCATTCAATGCTAACAAAGATTTTAAAATATTCCTTTTTTAACTTTTTATAAGGCTAAAATTGTTTTCAAAGCATCTCTGTTTATAGTAAAAACATCCGATTCATTTTTGATGTTGAACTAGAATCAAATTATTAAAAAGGAAACAGTGAAATATCCTTTTAGCTTTTATCTCAGCCCCTTTTTTCAGTAATCCCAGCAGCATGATCTGAAAGGAAAAAAAAATGTTACGGTTGATCTGAAAGGATCTTTATTGGTGTTTCTGATTGCAATCCCAGGGGCTGTGTAGTGAATATCAGTTTAAAAGTGCATATCTTCTGTCTTTAAGAGTTTTGAAAACTGAGTAAATTCAACAAAGCTGGGTTTCTGCTAATTTTAATGGAGTTGATATAAACCACTAATTTCCACCATTAGAACTGTCTGTAAAGCTAAAATCACATCTGTAAGTTGATGCTGAGAAGTTATTTGCCATCTTACAACCCGATAGGCTCCAACAGTAACGAAAAGAGTGACCACACTGAAGGAGATGGACTTGTTTTCTTGTGTGCTTGTCAGAAATGCTTTCAGGGTTGAGACCCTGGGGACCTGCGAGAGTGGGGCCAACCCAAGCCAACTTTGATCTTTGTGAATGAGGAGGGGGGCCTTTTGAGGGAATTTCACATTCTTTCCTTTAAAACATGCAAATCTTGAAATACGTGCTAACTTCCTGGATTGTTATTGTAATTAGGCCTGAAGCTGTAACGGTTTAAGGAGAACGGAGGTGTTTTTCCCAGCATTAGTTCACTCCAGTCGGGCCTCGTCAGCATCTTCATGTTTTATCTTCCATTGGTACATTCAT